TTTTTTTTTTTTTTTTTGGTCTTTATGACAGTGTGGCTCTCAGGGACATGATTTTTTTTTTCAGTGGAGCCCGAGGCAACCCCCTCTCCTCCCTCTGGTAGTCGTGTGTGGGCCAGTAGTGCTGCTGACACATGCGCTCTGCAGACCGGTGCTCCCCTGTGAGCACGACTGAGTGTGAAGCTCATCAATCAGAGCCTATAGAGCAGGATTATAGCAGACCTTGATTATAAGAGGCGTATCAACTGGTTGTTGTTTCAGAGTAATGTAGTAGGAAAGTGGAACTTACAGATCAGCTTGATGTTTGCAATGCCTGCTTTCCACACTCTGCAGAACATGACCTAAATCCATTTTTTTTCATGTCTGTTTGATTGCAGGTCGTTACCATGGAGATTGTCACACATTTAATTAACGACACCATAGAGTTCTACAAATGGACCCTAACCATAGCAGGTAGTAAACTACATGTGCTGTCATTGAGGGTGGGATTTTAGCAGTGGCGGTTCTAGACTAAATGTTCCAGGGGGCCAGTGTGTTTTCATGGGGGTACAGAAAAGCATGAAGGAAAAAAAAAAAAAAAAAATGGCAAGGGATTAAAATATATTAAGAGAGCTGCATGAAGTGACATTTCCATTCAATTAGGTTTAATAAAAAAAATTTGTCTTCCAATTGAAAATATTTATTTTTGGCTTCCATATAATTTTATCATATTTGAAAATGTTGATTTGGATTGTCGTTAAAATCTAAATAAAAAATCCCTTAGCATAGCAAAACAGCAACTCAAAAATTGTAGCTATATAAATATCTAAAACATCAAATAAAAAAATAAATAAATAAAGCTTTTATTTGGAAGGAGGTTAATATACATTCATAATTTAGGAATTTTACATATTTTAACTTAATGTAAGTTAAAAATTACAGTTTTCTATAAAATCAGATTTAAAACTCAAGAAAAACTGATAAATTCAGCTGTAAAAATTTGTTGTTTTTTTTGGTGAAAAAAAAAAACATTTAGCAGATGAAAACTGGGATCCTATCTCAATACCACTGAACCTATCACCTTATTAAAAAAAAAAAATTAGTAAAACGGAATATTTTTTTTTAATGTATTTTTTAATTATAAATTTGCAGCATTTGATTTTCCTGTTCTGAGTTAAATTTAAAGACCTGCAACTTCAGTGATGCGTTTGTCATTAAAAAAAAACAAAAACAAAAGATAACTCAATGAATTAAACATTTTAATTTATATTTTCATCATAATGGCCCAAAGTTTCACAGTTCTTATGCCACACAATTAGTATAAAATGGGTCAAGTTAAACCCACCAGTGATATAATTAAGACAAAAGAGGCATTTGGCATGTGTTAAAGGATATCAGGTGAGAATAAGAGCAGACCTGGGTCTGTGTTTAACATATGCATATTATTGGGCTTAACTGTATATTTTTAAGGCATTCAAAATCTGCTGTACTCGTAGGCCCTCGTTAAAAATCCTTTTCCTTGTCAACATGTAAAAAAAAACATAATGTGAACAAAGTAGGGTCTCAGTCTAGTTGCTGGGGCTGTTTAAAATCACAAGTCAGATGATCAGAATAAAACTTTCAAAGAAAAGATCTTAAAGATTTGTAGGTCTCAGAAGGAGATATGTTTGAAATTCGATGGAAGAACAGTCTGCAGGGAAACATTTGCTGGTGGATTTAAAACAATATATATTATGGCCCTGTTGCCAAAATGGCAGAATTGGCCATTCCTTTTCTAATACTGAATCTGATTTTTTGTTTTTAATTTAACACCTAATATTCAATTACATTTATTTGACCACACCATTGTGGTGTCCCAAAAATGACCACAGTATACTGGGCTGCGGTTTATGGCTGAAACAATTAATCAGAATAATCGATCATTGAAATATTAATCAACTCATTTAGTAATCAATCGATTAATCATTAACTGGAGTATAGAGACTGTAAGACATGCCTTTCGCTAGTAGAGCAACCCACGTAGAGCAGTAATTATATCAAAATTGCAAAACATTTCTATAAACATTTGACATTTAAGATGAAAAAATTATGTTTTCATCTGTCATCTGCTCTATCCAGAAATCCTCCAGTGGAAAAGTCTTAGTTTCATATGGTTTAATTTTGTAAAAAATCTTCTTTAACAAACCTTTTATTATCTGATTATTAATCGATAAATCAGAAAAAATAATTGACAGATTAATCGATTTGCAAAATAATCGTTAGTTGCAGCCCTACTGCGGTTAGCTTTCTGTACAGCAGTTCAGCTAATAAGAGCCAGATTCATAATATTTGATATTGAATATATCATTATTAATACAGTAGTATTAGTGTTATTAGTAGTAGTATTAAATATTCATTATGAAAATATAGAAAAAAAAATTATATTAATAAAAATAATAAAAATATTTTGGAATAATTATTTTGGACATATACATTTTTTTTTTCTGTGGTGCAGTGGGTAGCACTGCTGCCTTGCAGCAAGAAGGTTACTGGTTCAATTCCCAGCCCAGGGTCTTTCTGCATGGAGTTTGCATGTTTTCTCTGGGCACTCCAGCTTCCTCCCACAGTCCAAAAACATGACAGGTCAATTGGCTTCTCTAAATTCTACTTTGGTGTGAGTGTGTGCATGAATGGTTATTTGTCTCTGTGTTGCCCTGCGATGGACTGGCGACCTGTCCAGGGCCCATAGACAGCTGGAGATAGGCACCAGCACCCCTCGCGACCCCGCCTGGGGTTAAACGTGTCAGCAAATGGATGGATATTTATTTTTCTCTACTTATTTGAAAATTGTGCACCTAATAAATATTTTCCTCCACACTCTTCAGTGCTGCAGTGCTGACTTGTTGGAGACATGTTGCTCAAGAGGTTTTACAGCAGACCCCTTCAGGTTTATTAATGTGCTCTTCTCCACCCTACCACATCTGCTGCTTTGCTGCTGAAAATTAAAACAGGAAAATGTTTCCAGAGGAGTTTAGGGATGTGTGGTCATATCAGTTATGATTGTTACCCTATAATCCGTATCACAGTTTTTATTTTTTTTTTATTTTTAATGAAATCTTTAGTTTTCAGACATGGATAATTTTAAGGTAAGGGAGACGATGTCGTGTTATGGTACTGTTGGCAAAATAAATGAATGGGAGTGCGAAAGCCCGGATCCTTCATCAAAAATCCTTCAAGCTTTTTAAAAACAGGTTCTAAAACATAAGCATTTAACATAAAGTATGCTTTACATAACAGAGTGGGAATATGTGTCCTGCAGACAAGCGAGTGGAGAAATGGCCTCTGATGGACAACCCGCTCCCCACGCTGGCTATCAGCACCTCCTATCTGCTCTTCCTTTGGCTGGGCCCCAAATACATGAAGAACAGAGAGCCCTTCCAGCTCCGCAAGACCCTCATCGTCTACAATTTCAGCATGGTCTTCCTCAACTTCTTCATCTTTAAAGAGGTAGTATTAGACATTCAGCTGTGCTTTTTATCTGTGCATGAGTCACAGTACTCCAAAAATAGGCGTTCTGTGGTGATAACACACTCATTGCTGCTCAGCCTTTTGCTTGTAGTGCGTCTGCCCATCTGAGTCTGTCCCCTCATGGAGTTACTCTCTCTGTCCTTTTAGCTCTTTATGGCGGCTCGGGCAGCACAGTACAGTTACATATGTCAACCAGTGGACTACTCAGACGACCCCAATGAAGTCAGGGTGAGTATGTTGGAGCCCGGAAAGCTGAAAGACATTTAAAAAAAAAAACAAACATACATGCATGATCCTCCAGAGTATATAGTGCTCTGCAAATATATTAACACTGCTTCAACTATTCTTCATGTCATCACATAACAACCATGGACTTCGGTATATTTTATCACCATTTTTAGAGAGTAGAATATATATTTAAAGTAAAAGGGAGCAGATTATTGGTTTTTAGAACTTTTTTACAGGAAATAAATACTTGTAGAAGGGCTCTTGGAAGTGCAAATTATTGCTGCAAGTCTTTATTTTTATGTCTCTTGATTTGCATATCAAGAGAATTGTGCACATCTGTATTTGTAAAACAGCTTAAACCAGATTTTCAATGTCTTGCCCCAATTGCCACAACTGGATTTTAGGTCTGAATTTGGGCAGGGTCATCCTAGCAACTTGATAATATTTTGATCACTTCCCTTGTAGTTTGGAATGCATATTAAGGGTCTTTGACCCCTATGCTGTCTATGCACATCCTGAAAGACTCAAGGCTTACAGGATTCCTCTGTATTTAGTTAAATTCCCCTATTGCTGCCATCACTATGTTTCTCAGAGGGATGTGCTGTTTCACTTTTCAAGCCAAATATAATCTGTTGACTTAATGAGGTTCAATATAAATACACATAACATATTTTTTCCTGCACATTTTTCCAAAGGTGTTTAATAAAATAAAATCAAATTAGTACTAATTGAAGTTTTAAGTGTTGACAAAAGAGTTCAACTGATGTTGGTCATTTTGCAAGATGACTTAGATTTACTTTATCAGAGTTTATTTGAAATGATATATGATTAGCTTTCTTCAGCTTCTTCTGTATGCTGTGGCGAACTTTCTGAAGTATATCTAGTTTTGCACATATTTCAAGCATTGCTGGCTATAATTAGCCTTCTAATTAGTGCACCGCACTGATCAGGATAATCCCCGTGAGCGTTTTTTTTTTTGTAGCTTTACTTTCAGGTTTTGAGAACCTGATCAGTTTCCATTCAGTTAGACTGTAGAAAAACACTTGAGCTGAGTGAGGAATCGGTGTTCAGTTTCACCTTGCTGCGTCCTGCTCCATGACATAGATACAAGCTTGACAGACGAAGAAAAAAAAAAGAAAACAGGAGCGGATTGTTTACTCTGAGGTTAAGATGTTAAAGATGAGTACAACACGACCCTCACATGTTTGCTTTCTGGCTTTATTAAACACGGATATCGGGCTCCAGTGTCCATTCGTTATTAGGTTCTGTTCGTGTTGAAAAGCCCTCACTCTTTAACAATGCTGATTCCTCGTGTGTTTCTCTGGGAAACAGGTAGCAGGAGCTCTCTGGTGGTATTTCATCTCCAAAGGCATTGAGTACCTGGACACAGTATTTTTCATTCTGAGGAAAAAGTTCAACCAGGTTACCTTCCTGCACGTCTACCACCACTGCACCATGTTCACGCTCTGGTGGATTGGCATCAAGTGGGTGGCAGGAGGACAGTGTGAGTTGCTCTCAACAGCAAATACAAATTCCACGTAAAACTCTAGCTTTATATTTGACTGAGTAGATTATTACAGAACTTGTTTACGTTCTGTTACTCAACAAGAAATGAAATATGGTTTCTGTTGGCCCTTCAAAATTAAGGTTAAAATGTTCTTACACAATAACAGTTTTAATAATTTATAGAGTTTATTATTCCTTTTAATAGACTCCAGGTTACTTCCAATTGAACGTCATAATTTTTTTCCAGAATAAAAGCCTTTATTTCTAAATAAATAGAATATTGCCAAATTAGATTCAACTTTACTCACCAAACTAAACCAATCATGAAAAAGGGGATTTCTTTAAGTTTTCAAAAAGAAGCTTAAAGAATGTTGTCAAAAATTTAAAGTGTAACATTGTAGTAGTATTTCAAGTAGATTCGTGTAAAATGATATTCCACATAACTAATTAAGCTAATTAACTCACAAAGGCAGAATATATTACTTTCACAATGAAGTGAATACAATTGGCAAATAAAAGTTTTCATCGACAATAAAACTAAATAAAAACAGTGGGAGAGATCTAGGCAGATTATACAGTGAAGTGGAAAGGTGGGAGGAGCTTGAACAAGAACAGTGAGGTTTAGTCTACAGCTGTTTATTTATAGCAGTGCAACCCTATCTTTTATAGCATAGAACTATAATAATATTAAAAGATTATAAATGAACCAAAGTTTCACCAAAACAATTCAGAGGGACTTTTTGTTACTGTTTTATTGGACAAGGATAGGAAGGGGTGAGAACTGCATCTTCAAAGTTTTCAAGTTCAGGCCCCTCAAAGTGATGGAGATGCTGAGCAAGGGTCTCCTTGCCATGTCCGCCTTGTGGGTGGGAGGAGCTGTATGAATTTTCTCAGCAGGTCAAAAGGTGCTGACTTTGTTAAATGTGAACAGGTAACACATAGAAGCTCTGTTTTAAATAATGCAATGATGCAGATGTTAGCATGCTCCTGCATTAGGGCCCTGATTAACTAGGAGCTTGGGACCCCCATAATAAAGAGCCCTGGTTTAGAGCAATCTGGTTTCCTTTTGCTAATGTCCTGCTTTCTTCCACCTGCAGCCTTCTTTGGTGCACACATGAATGCACTAATCCACGTCTTGATGTATCTGTATTATGGCTTGGCCTCCTGTGGACCAAGAATCCAAAAGTACCTTTGGTGGAAGAAGTACTTGACCATCATCCAGATGGTAAGAATGTCTCCCCTTTTTTGGAAAGAATAAGTTAGTAGAATATTATTATTTATAATTTTTTTACCTGAGTATTGAAGTTAAATGAATGACTTCCTTCACGCGGCTCAGGTCCAGTTCCACGTCACCATCGGCCACACTGCTCTGTCACTCTACGTCAACTGTGACTTCCCCCACTGGATGCACTACTCCCTCATCTGCTACGCCATCACCTTCATCGTCCTGTTCGGCAACTTCTACTACCAGACCTATCGCCGCCAGCAGCCCACACGCCGCGATGCCTCCTCTTCTACGAAGGCAGGCAAACATGTGTATAACGGGAACCTGAATGGGCTAAGCAGAGCTGCAAATGGAACGCCGCTAGTGACGAGCAAAGAGGAGAAGCCCCAGGAGAACTCAGGGAGGAGAAAGAGGAAAGGACGTGCCAAAAGGGATTAGAGGTGGAGGTTAGGGAAGGGTGGGCTATGGCCTCTGGTCTAAAACATGTAATGATTAATTTGAAAAGGATTTAGAGGGATGGATGTTTATTTCTTTAAGTCACAATAACCTGAGTTGTTGTAGATAAAAATTATGAGCTATTGTATGAGGAGAGAATGGATCTGTTAAAAGGAGGTGTCAAAGGTCAAAAGCGAAATGGCCGCTAATAAATAACCCAAAATGGAAACAAAGGGTTTGGATATATCATGGAATTCCGTCTCTTTACCGTGGTTTAGATGTGGTAGAAAACAAGGTATTCAGATTCCAAACATGGAGCCTGAACAGGGAGAGGTCTCATAGATCCCTCTTGGCGGTTTTGTAACAGCTCCGTCAGGGGAGGCCTGAGCTGCAGTGAATAACAGACACTGCTGTAATGAGACGGTAATACAGATGGTAACACACGCACAAACATTTCACTTTTTACTTGAACTTACAATTTATCAGTTTGTCACCTTATAGGTATAAAAATGTTATCAATGTCTTTTTGTCCACCTTTTATTTAAGCTTGTCAATGCAACGTCTTTTATTTGTTCAGATGTCTTTTTTGGTTATTTTTCCTTTCATATAAGGGATCCAATCATGAGGACACCATCCATTTATATGCAGAGAAGAGTAAACTGTACATAGAAACAAAAAAGAAGAAAACGCTCCTTTTAGAGAGGGATGATCTTGTTCCATCATTGCTAATCCCTCATGGGATAGATCATCTCTTGAGATTTGCTTGTATATGATTAGAACTTGTTTTATATTCCCATACCTGTTTGTCATGTGATATAATGTTACCAGTGTCCAGCGAGATTCTCTGTTTCCCCACTCTGACTGAAAAAAAAATGTTTTTTTTTTGTTGTCTGACATGTTTATCTGTCTTTTTCATGTTAAACCTGCTGTATGTCTTGGTACCAGAGACAGAGGATGTTGGGTTCTGGGTTCCGCATTTGCATTAAAACCTTCATCTCTGCTCTCTTCAATTAAGATACCTTTACATCTTCGAAATATATCTGTTTGCAGACAAATGCTCAGACCTTGAGCTACATTGAATGTAAATGTATCTGCAAAAAGACTCAGCTTAAAAGATGTACATTTCCCTCCTTTTTTTCTCTGTGTTTTCACTATTTAAACATAAAGCTGGTTACAGGTATGTTACGCCACTGTACAAAATACTTTTTCATTGACTTGTCGAAGCATAGCGTGTATCAGCTCTCTATCCGCAATCTACCAATGCTTTTATTATTATTATTATTTATTATCAAATATTTAATCTTATGTAAATACTTGTTCCCATCTTCATCAGTGTTTTTCTGTGTATCTGTCTTTTTTTTCCTGATGTACAGATTACATTGTGATTTTTTGTACTCTGCTCATTTAAGAGTGGACTTTTCTCTGTCCCAAAGCCCCTTGGTAGTTTTCTTTCTTGCATTTCTTTTGGTATTATAACTTAAAACTGTCTCAAATTGAATAAAAACTAATGCCTGTACTACTTCTTTACCTCTCTATATATTGATGATGCAAGTACATTTTCCAACACTAGAGGGAAGTAAGTAACACCATTATAACAAGCTCACACTAAAGGACATTTTTATGCTTAACCCTCATGTTTAAAGTTCTCACCAAAAATGATTTAATATTTCATATTTAATTAAAAAATGACTGATATGATAAAAATTGCTTTTATTGCCTTAAATGTTGATACAAGTATTGAATGTACATTGAATGTCTATAGTGCGGTTAATTTTAGAGGAAACTTTGCTATTGGTTATTTCCAAGGCAATTTTCAACATCAGAATCAGAACCTTTATTGCCAAGTAGTGTTTTACAGGTACAAGGACTTTTTTTTGGTTATTAACTGCTATATGTAGACAAGCAAACTTTTAGCTGATGGCAAATCATTTCTCCAATATCAAAGTCTGGATAAACAAATATAAGATATGTAAGGAGAGAACCATGGCAGTTATTAAAAATATCCACCACTGACATAAGTATAAAGTAATAAGAAAAATTGTACATATACACATGTGCTAAGATGTTTTTTTTTTGTTTTGTTTTTTTTCTCCTTTGGTAAAACAGTCAGTGGGGTTTTTATGAGGCTGGTAGCAGATGGGAAGAAGCTGTCTATGTGTTGGATCATTCTAGTCCTGATGCGCCACAGCTTTTTGCCACATTAGAGAGTCTGAACCAGTTTGTGCCCTAGGTGGGAGGGGTCAGCTGCAACCTTCCCTGCTTGCCTCTGGAGTCTGGAGGCGTACAGTTCTTGAAGAGAAGGAAGAATGCAGCCCATTGTCCTCTCTGCAGAGCAAATGAGAAACTGCAGGCTGCTCTTGTCCCTGGTGGTGGCAGCAGCATACCAGATGGGGATGGAGGAGGAGAGGATGAACTCAATGTTGGTGGAGTAGAAGTGCACCATCATTGTCTTTGGCAGGCTGGATTTCTTCAGCTGCCTCAGGAGATACATCGTCTGCTGCTCCCCCTTAGGGAGGTGATGTTCAGCACCCACCTGAGGTCTTAATCGATGATGGTACCCAGGAAGCAGGAGGAGTCAAATGGGCGGCTGGAGACTCACACAGTCTGACGGAGCAGGATGGGGCTGTGCTCTTTCTAAAATCTACCATTATCTCCACTGTTCTCAAAGCGTTAAGCTCCAGACTGTTCCTGCTGCATCGGGTATCAATAAGTTGAAATTAGGGTGGTGCTTCTTGTGCTGCTTCCTGTCTGTTAGGGAGTCTGACTGTGATCCTCTTGGAGGTGGAGTCAGTAACGTTTAGCTGTGAGAGCTTGTCCTCCAGCTTGTCCTCTAACCCTAACCTCAGGTTCACACACAGGATGCTAAGGTAAAGCCATTCAATTAGATTCAAGCTTTAAAGTCTGTAATTGACTCTCCTTTTTCCATCTATTTTAACCACATATTAGAGCTGGTAAGTGTGTACAGACTGACTGCTTGTGATGACACCATAGCCCACAGTTTGTAAGGGTTCTTGTTAATGTTTCTTAAAAGCACATTCCAGTAAAAATAGCCAATCTCAGCTTCTAAGGTTGTCTTTATTCCATATACCATAAAGATAAATAAATCCAGAAATCCACTTATGACAGAGATGAACTGTTAAATTCACTTTTGATTGATCAAAAGGGACATTCATTGATCCTTGTATCATTGCTAATATGAATTATTAGGAATCACAATGTTTGTTGTACCATGATACCAATCACACAGATTACCCTAATACTGAATGTAGCTTTATATGATTTGAGTCCATTTTAGCTGAGAAGCATCTCCAGCATTTTATTCTCCAACTGTAAAAATACCATTGATACTAAGACACATATTTCCAGTAAAAATAATTAATAATAAAATACGGTGTTTTCAAAATAAAAGCCCTTCCTGTATAATCCATTGAGAGATTTGAATTGATTTAGTTCATTTTGAACATATGTTAACTTTAATATTTTTGTATGGCATATGTTTACAATTATTAAAGTCATTTACTGTCTTATTTTGAACAATACAAATCTTATATGTTTTTAATTTGCCAGGCAGCCATATTGTGACTGTGAATTTGGGTTTTGTTAGAAACATTTTAATTTTGTACTGAAAAATAACAATATATGCTCTAAGTAACTAAAAAGTGTCTTTAAACATGTTAGGTTTTTGTTTTGTTTTGAAATATTGTTATATCTTTAAAAGTGTCCTCCTGCTCTAGGATCAATAATGCAAATAACCAATTTGCGTTAGTGTTTGTTGGCATGTAATTATTCTTAAAATTAGGTACGTTTAAGTAAATTAAAACATTAAACATGATGTTGTGTATTTCACAGTTCTATTTGTACACCGCCTACTAAGCTTCTCAATGTATCATAAGTTTGATATAAAAAAAATAACAACCTCCTTCGCTAAGAACAGATTAGATTAGTTGTTAGTGCACCAGTCCCAAATTTAGGAGGTTGTTATTACTGAGATTTAATATCAGCTACTAATTTAAAGAGTATTTTAAATAATAAAAGTAGGTGGCAGTTGATTAATATAGCATAAAATGAATGTACCATCCAAGAAATGAAAAAAAAAAAACCTTTTAGATTCAGAGTATTTTCTTTTTGGGTACCTTACAAATTCCCTCCCATTTCGATGAATTTAGACAAAGGTTTCCATGGTTACTTCCCACAGCAGCTGTGTGCCTGCCCCCAGTCACAGGCAGAAAAGCCCCTCCCTACCCATCCCCTCATCTCTCCTCGTCTCCAAGCTTTTCTTCGTAAATCAGCTGGCATCTAGCATTGCAAAGTGCAGCAGTGCAATAAACTACTAGGATGCGTGTGTGTGTGTGTGTGTGTGTGTGGGTGGGTGTGCGTGTGTGAGTTGGTGGTAGGGTGTGTGGTTGGAACACTCAAAGGAGGTATTGTGTGTTTTTTGTGTGTGTTTCGTTTTTTTGCATGCACGCATGTTTATGCAGCACTCCCTGCAGAATTTAAGAGTAGGAGGCCTGCAACCGCAGAGGATTGTTTTATGGATGGTGTTTTTACTATCCCAAAATTTCACTTGTTGAATCTATTCCAAGAATTTTCTTTAGACTATTATGTCCTATTGGAACTCTTTCCCAACAGTCAGTTTGGAAGCCCCCAAAACACGGTTTTCTAAAGCAGAATTTACAATAAGAGCCAAATAATTGAATGTTTAAAGTATGTTTGAGTAGTTTTAAAAATAAATGAAGTATATTTTCCAAAAAAAGTAAATGTTTATATGAGAGCTTATCAAACCGTAATTTATATTCTAGCTTTAAATAGTTTAAAGGGTCTTAAACCACTCAGATTTATAACCACTATCCCCCAGTTGCTCCTGATATAAAGACAGAATATAAAAAATAGAGGGGAAAAAAAGTTTTATATATATATATATATATATATATATATATATATATATATATATATATACATATATAGCTGTGAATGTGACATCATATTATGATGTGTCTTACAAAGATCAACAACGTGATACCAATAATTAAACAAATAAAACTCAAACAAACAAGCAAATCAGACAGAGTATGTTCAGCAGAACAGGATGTACTGACATTGGGAGTACGTCAACCAAGATTAGAGACAATTTATTTTTTATTTAACCCTGGATAAATGGATTTCATCAGCAACAAACAAGGTTACCTGAAAATTACAAATCACAAAGTTTACAAAACATTGTGGACAATTGGCGTGGGATGCTTTAAAGATGCAGGATGGTGCACATAATGATTCTTGATTAATCCTGTGTCACGTAAAATGGGGTATTTATGTTGAGTTAGGAAAATCTTGTTAGTTGCTGCTCATAAATTAAGTTTAAACCTCTAGTTGGACACTGCATGCAGAGTTATGTGAGAAAGAAACAACATGCTAGAGATATTTAGTTTAACACAAATGAGTTGCTTTTCTACACAAGGATCAGAGAGAGTTTGATGTGATTAAGGCTTGTGTCATCTGTAAGTTAAGATCCATTCAGTCAGTTTTAAAGCAATAACAGTAAAAGTGGAAAAAATTTGGAAATTGTCAAGAGCTTAACTGTAATAAATTTACAGTTCTTTAAGAAGAAGTAATTGGTCAGTTTTGGAGTTTCTCACCTGCCTTAAGTATTATACAGCATGCAGGCTTAAACCAGTGTTTAGGAATGTATTCTTATACCATGTAGCAACATTATCGTTTTTGATTTTGTTTTACAGAGAGCAGATTAATCATAACTGGGAGGCAAAGGCCTCCATGATGCAGACATCTGTCACAGAAAAAGGCTGAATGGTCCCGAGCCAGGAGAGGTTTAAACGTGGGGGATGTGGCTAATGTGTCTCTGTGAAAAGGGAGAAGAAAACGCCAAGCATCTGTTATCCTATTCAAAGAAAATGGATCTTTAGCCTTATCCAAAGCTTGCTCATTGTTCCGCCAACAATATTCTTGCTAATTAAACTGGGATTACAACAGAGACCAGCCTCTGTTTTTTTTTTCTGGCCAGATTAGTTTAGGATGTCTTTTCAAAATCTGGAGTGACAGAAGCTAATGGATTACACAGACGTAAGAGGCCAAGAGATGTGGTCACTGAAGCTTTGACAAGAGTTATAATCTATGCCATAAACCATGCAGCGCTGAGCAAATCCTGTGGCTCTCCCAACTTCTTCCTGCAAACTTGTCTCACATGCACACACAAGGTAGAAGCCAAGTAAGAACAAGCTAAAACGTAGAAATCAACACGGTATGCCTTAAAGTACTGTATAAAGTCAAGTAAAGTTTGAGTCCTAAACTTGATTTTAATGTCCTGACTCCAACAGTAAGGACAGTTTAAAAAAAAAATGAAGATGTTTTGAGCTTTTTGACAAACTAGTTGGGATTCTTGTCAATATGTAAATTCAAGACCTTTTCCATTTTATGTCTCATTTTTTTTTTCTATCTGCAAAACTATTTTAATAAAGTAGAGCTGCACTCTAACAACATCTAACTATGCGTTCTTT